CCCCAGCTACTGTCTGGGCCCCTGGTCAGGGAGTGATCTTGCAGAATTCTACTCATTATAGTTTTACAACATCAAAATCTTTAACCATATAGTAACAATAACACACCTACAATAAGAGAAGGGTTGATCATTTACACACGCTCCTATGGGAAAATGAGCTCTCTCCCTGGCTAAGAAAAATAAGGGTCTGCATCCTATAACAATAAAAAAAAAAAGGGAAAAAAATCCCAGGATGCCCAGAATGCAGTGTTTTTTCTTCATGACGTGTTGTAGAGCACGTCAGCTGCTCCTTGTTGCTGTGCAGATCACCCAGCACCAGGTCACGGAGAGAAGGCAGCGCTTGCTCGCACAGCTGATAGGATTAGGAGATGGTGCGGTGTCAGCCCTGACCGAGTCCCAGAAAGCCCCCAGCATACTGAGGTGAGCGGAGGAAGAGCGGCTGTGGGGACCACGAGGGGTCTTGCTTGTACGGTGCAGACATTTTCTCTTTGGCAGTGTGTTTGTATTGTCTTTTCTGTGAAGTTTGCAGGCTGGTTGGGAGCGGGCATTCCTGTCCATAAAAACCTGTCCTTTATCACTTCTCTGGTTTCAGGGGGTGGTCACAGGATTTTTGTGAGTCTCAAGTAAGATTATGAATGTGAAAGAGCTCTAAAAATATACAAAGTTGTGGGCAGAGGAGTGGTATGGATCATTTAATCACAAATTTCACATAAACAAAGAATCAAATAATTCATACTAGACTTGGAGGCATGATTACACAGACACATTTCTTTCCCCCCATTCTGCAATGCCCTGTTCCTCCCCAGACCTGGGCAGGAATGCTGTCTATAATCTTGACGGGTTGGTTCTAGCCTTCGAAAGCAGCTGATATTTTTCTAAAAACCAGCATGACATTCATTTCTAAAGGAAAAGCCACAGAATTACAAAACCAGACCATAAAATAAGTACGTCAGTAGAAACTGGAAATGATGCATGGGCATATTTTTAAAAGCAGATGAAAGATGAATATAATATACTGTATTAGATTATATCTCTTTGATGGTGTAATCCAAACGTTGTAAGACATTTCTCTTCGTGACACGGGAAACAAATGAAATTAAAGGCAACACAGATACTATCATTGGTAAAACTTGCCTTTTTGAACAGTGGAAAAACAGACTCGGGCTCCAAAAGTACAGAGCTAGGAGGCATTTGAGCACTAACTCATCAGCCTTTCCCTCCGCAGGGTTGCTATGGTGACAAGAGGGCGACTCTCACCGCACAGCCTCTCGCTGCCTGCACTTCGGCAGTAAAAGCTTTCACTGAACACATGTTGGATTTTTTTAGGCAACCACCTCATCATCAAATACAAAGACATAATGGAGGCAGCTCTTTCCCTGCGTCATTTTCAGGACAGAAGTTGTGTCTATGTTCTTCCTGCTATACTGACAGGCCCCTTATGGGGTTATAGAATTCACTCATTCATTTGACTGGTATATATTGAGTGCCTACTGTGTGACAGGACGTGTACTAGGCACAGCCTACAATCCCTGGTGAAGACAAATAAATAGGGAATTCTGATGCAAGACCATAAAGCTCTCCTGGGGGTAAAATAAATACAGGTGTCCTGGTATGTAAGAGGGGAATCTGGCCCTTCTTGGGGGAATGAGGGGAGGTTTCCTGGGAGAAGCTGTCTCTGAAATGAAACTTAATGTCTCTTTAGGAGTTGGGGAGGATGTGTGGGTGGGGTGCAAGAGTTGCTCTAGTCTAGACAAAGGGGCCAGCATGTACAATAGAAGAGAAAAAGAGAGTGTATACCTCCAGAAACTGAACATTCCACAGTTTGGGGGGTAATCCATTTGTGAGGGAGGAAGTAGTGAGGGAGGAAAGGAAGGGGGAAGGATACCTGGTAGGAGAGAAAGGAGTGGCAAGAAACGAGATTGAGGAGGTAAACAAGGCTAGATCATGAAAGGCCTTTGTGCCACATTAAGGAGCTTGAATATCACTTGGAGGACATCTGGGAGATCATTAGCGGGTTTTAATGAAGAAGCATGGCTTAATTTGGCCTTTCAGAAAGACCTTGTGCAAAAATGAAAAAAACGAGCAAGAAAGGAATAAGAGGCAAAACTGGAAGCAAGACAATTTTAGTTAGACCACTCTTGCAGTAACCCAGAATGTTTGTGGTTGAGACTTAAACTGAAGATAATGCAGTCGATCTGTGGGCAGAAGTAATCAGATTCAAGACATTATTACCAGGGTAGCATGGAGATCACATGTGGTTTATGCTATGTGGACCACAGGAGGGAGGAGAAGTCAAAAATGACTCTGAGGCCCTAAATTGGATAGCTCAGTGAAGGATGCTTCTACTGTTAGGCCCCCAGACTCCATTTTCAGTTCTCAGTAAGGAACTCAGAAGCACCTTCTGACCTTAGCAGTTCATTCCTATCTAACAGTATATGTCCTCAGGCTCATCATTTTGGAAATAATAAACTGCAGGAATCATCATGGACCACCACTTTCCTGAAGTCCATTATCTGAGATAGCGATAGAAAGTATTAATTAATCTACCCCTTCCCCCCAAATAAAGAATTTTAAGATTGCCAACCTCACTACTTAAGAGAGCTAAGTAGGTTAAAAAGGCATGAAGATGTATGAAATAGAATTTCTTTGGGGGGATAGTAAAAAGGCCGTTGAGTCCACGAATCTCCCGAGGCTCTTTCTAGACTCATACTGCACTTTTGTAAACTTGACAGTTGAGGGCTGAGAAAAATGCTGTTTGGAGGACAAATGGGGGACAGACACTTGGCTGTAAGGATCAGTCTGTTCCCCACCCACATTGCTACTTACAATTCTCTCCAATTCTGAATAAATGTATTACACATGTGGAGCTCATCACCGGATAAGGTTTAAGTATACCCAGTGTAAACATAAACCAAGGCCCATGACCCAACTGATGGTGCCTATTCGAAGGCCTCAGTTGGAGCTTTTTTGGAGTTTTTGAGTAAATTTGTCTGCCTCACAAATGATTTTTCTGCAGTCATGTAAGAGGCAAATATTGAATGGACAACTCGGAGGGGACATAACCTCCCTTTGGAAAGTTCTGTTCTATCAGTTGGGCACAGCTCTTTTGTATTCGTTATCTAATTCTCACAGCTATCCTTTGAGGTAGATACAACTATTATTATTATGATTGTTATCCCTCAATTTCACGAGGCAGAGCTTAAGTCCAAAAAGGTCAAGGTTCAGACGCCATTCATTCAGAGTTGGCCAAGAATTTTAGGCATAAAGGTACTACAGGGAGTGGGGTGCTGCCTTGAACCCGGCTCTCTGAGTTCAAGGGCAGTGTCCTTCCCATAGCAGTGACCCTGGGCTCATTCCCGGGCGGCTGCGGGCAGAGTTGGAGAAAAGGCTGCTCTCGCCCCGCACAGCCTAGCTCCCCGATCCCGCGGTAACCGCCTTGTCGTTCTAAGGGGACCCAAGGACCTCCTGATGCACCCCCCCCCCCCCCCCCAAGCAGAATCGCAGCCCTTGGGATCCCGGAACCCCGCAGCGGCGTCAGCTCTGCATCCTCGGCTTGGCTGGGGCCGGGTGGAGAGGGGCCCGCCCTGCCGGGCGAGGTAATTGTGGGGAGCTGTAAGCTGACTTGGGGCCGGGAGCGGCGGCGGGGAACAACTTTCCCTTCTCCATTTTGGCCCGTGGCGCTGTGGGGAGCTGTATGCTGACTTGGGGCCAGGAGCGGCGGCGGGGGAACAACTTTCCCTTCTCCATTTTGGCCCGTGGCGATGGCGCAGCTTTTCTCAGCTCTTCCATCCGACGTGTAGAGCCTTCAACCCGGATACCGGGTGCCCCAAAGAGGGTGTCGGGCACCTCCCAGATGCAGAAGTGCCGATCCTCGCCTGCCCCCACACACCCCTCGGGTCCGGGTCCGCAGAGAGGGAGGGGCGCGCGGCACCGGGGGCC